GCTATTAGCAGTTTCTACTCATCAAATCAAACAGAACTAAAAATTTCCATTGTCTTAGCATCCGTATGCATGATTTGTGGCCCATGACCCGTTTCAAAAGATAGATTTGGTCCATTGGGACTGTCTCGCTATGGACCTTTTGTCTATGTCGAACTGGACCTAACAAGGCCCAAGTTCCCTAGAAATCCAGTTCTTAGTCGATCTATTCCATGCCCACCTGGCTAGCCCATGGCAGGGCGAGTGGCAGAAGCCTATGTCGAAGTGACCATGGCGAGTGTAAATATGCATATGAGGATATAATCTCTGATCTTTTGTTTATTTAAGTATACAAATTTTTTAAAGTTTTAAATAAGGTTATCAGCTTTTATTTTTTTAATTAAGATATGAATTTTACATTTTTTTATTTAAGGATTTAGTAGATGGTGGTGATGTGGTTCATAAATGCACTAAATCTTTAAATAAAAAATTCATAAATTTAATATTTTTATTTTAAAAAATTAAAAGTTGATAAGTTTATTTAAAAATTAAAAAGATTTTTATTTTTAAATAAAAAGGTAACAAAATTGATATTTTTATCTATATTTTTACTAGATCTTTGAGTGTTCTGAAGGTCACTATAAAAAAATTCATATTTAGTGATTAAATTATTAGTCATTAAATTTTTATTTTTTGTCACAAACTAAAATTAGTGATAAAATTTAAATCATTAGTAAAATCTTTGTCACTAATGCTCTTAATGACGAATTTGACACTTATCACAAAAAAGAATTTTATAATGATGAAAAAATTCTACATTATTAATAAGTTATTTGTAACAAATTTAGTTATCACAAAAAAAAAAATATTTTTTGTTACAATAATTTTCATCACAAATGTTACAATTGAATGACAAAAAAAATAGTCACAAATACAATTGTGATGAAAAATTTAGTCATTAATTATTAAAATTGATATTAAATCAAAAAGAGATTTATATAATTATGACACAAATATTGTAACAAAAATTATGTCACAAAAAAATTGATTTATAAATTTATCACAAAAGTTTAATAAAAAAATATTATTATTTCAACACTAATCAATTTTGATTAAAATTAATCAAACCTGATTAAAATTAATTAGGCCCTAATTAAAATTAATTAGGCCCAAATTAATCTCAAGTTTTATTGAGCTTTACGTGTTTTATAATGCAAAACTTTATTTTATTAAATATTTCTTATCAATGTGGGATATATTTATAGTGCAAGATCTTATTCTCTTATATGTTTTGTATCGATGTGGGATGCATTGATTAAAGAAAACTTAAATAAGACTGAATTGTAGTAATGAATTTTATCATCACATGCATTTTTTTTGTGATAATTTTTACTGAAAAAATATATTTTTAGTGATGAATTATTTGGTCTTCATTGAATGTATAAAGTATATGTGATCAATATTTGAAATTTGTTTTAATTGGAATGAGTTATAGTGATTATTTTTATTGTTACAAACTTATTTTTATTTGTGACTATTTTTCAGTGATGAAATATCTTTTTAATGATGAGTTATTTTTATCATTATTGATTGAATATACTTGCATTTTATGATTAATTTTTAAATTTTGTCACAAATGTAATAAGTTATAATGTTGATTTTAACATTCATCACATTTTTTTGTCACTAAAAATCTCATTACTTGTAGTGGGTACAGTTCCTTAGTAGTTACAAATATATTATATTGAAAAAGTAGATATCAACCTCAATGTAAAAAATTAAGCGAAAAAACACCTTAAAATTTTGTTGTTTTAATAAAGTTACATTAAAAAAATACTCTAAATCTTAATTTTTAAAGTAAAAATGAGCAATTTTTTAAAAAAAAAATTATGATATTTTATTAAAATGATATAGTTTTTAGGTTTTTTTTTTACTTAATTTTTTTTGTAAATCCAGCTAATAAACACAAATATTATGTTAAATTGGCCTGTCATTGATATAAAGCCTATTAAGACTGAAAGTGAAGCATTCTGCCCTTTCTAGTTTTATTCGACACTGTTTAGTATTTTTATTTTTTTATGAGAATTTGAAATTCCTAATCAAAACAGTGATTGTTTTGGGCGGAAAAAAAAAAATCAAAACAAGAAATAGCTTATGGGTAGGATTATGGCTGCTATATTAAATATTAAGGTCACTAATTTTTTAATATTTTTTTT